TTCTTTTGTCTCTGATTTACCACTTGTTTCCTGCTCCCTCTTATTTTCATTCATATTTATCTCTCTGCCTTAGCCAAACCTTTATCAATAACCTGACAGATCACAGAGTGACTTTAATATCTAGAATCATGAATAAAGTCCAGTGATGATTGCTTGGGAAATGTACAGAACTCCTCAGATCCTCTTGAGAATGGAAATACCCTAATGAGAAGGAGGATTGCAGCAAGGACTCAGTTTGTGTAGCCTAAATTCTTAGATGCAAGAGGAATTATGTACTTCCTTCTTCTTTAAATAGAAGATTGCCCTGGACCAAGAATTGTTTAAAGGAGGAAAGATTGGCTAAAGGGGTTCAGAAAACAGCAAATTTCATTTTTTATTCCATTGATATGCATCATTCTTATTCACATCTTCAGCACATGATTGCAAATATTTGCCTATATGTCTAAAGGCCCCCATCGTAATGTATATATCAGGACAAGGGCAGGTTTCTAAAAATTGAGCTGAGTTGCATCTATGAAACTTGGAAATCTTAATGCCTGTGCTGACAAATATCCTGACAAGTAAATACTATACTCATTCAGTATTACATAGTGATTTCATTTGCACAAAACCTCACAATGCTCTGCCACTTCAGTCAAACGTCTAGAGCACTGGGGAAAGGAAGAACGTGTTTATCTTGATCTCCAAAAAGGGATTTAAGGGAGAGAGCAGGCTGTATATTAGACTGTTTTCATTGCCTGTCAGCTATGGTAAACCTGAGCTGTCTGCGGTGTCTCTAGATAAGCAGCAACAGCAGCAGAGGCCTTAGCATGTATGTATGACTGCATTCATTTGTACTTCTTATGTATCTCAAAATTTCTAAAGGCTGTGTAGCATCTTTGGTGGAGCCTTTAACAATTGTGTCTCTGCTAATCACTGGCTTTTATGCAGTGCCCTTAATTCTCAGGTCTGCCAGCTTCAGTGAATGAAGTGTGGGATGAAGCTTAAGTTTATATTGAGTGGATGAAGATCCTCTTTCCTCTCAGTCAGCCCTTGTTTAGTTCTGTTGGTGTGGGCACTCTTCAGCAGGGGACCCTGAGGTGGTGCCTGTTCCTAATATTTTATGGTACTTCTTCTCCTCCTAAACTTGGGGGGCAGCAAAATGGGGCCTCAGGAGCCACCTCTGTTTGAATAGCTCCTCCTGTGTTTAAATATGGTTATTGATGCTTGTTGGAAAGAGAAATTAAAAATTTGTATCACGCAGTAGAAAATGTGAGAAAAGTAATTTGGGAAATGGAAAATGGCCAGCAGCTTGATTTGTATAGAAATGTGTATGTCAGAGCTGGAAAACTAATGAATGAAGCTCACCTACTTTGTGAAGATACTATGTTGGTGAGGGTTGTTTGCCCCAGATTTTTCTGTGAAATATTGCTCGGGCAACACCGAATAATAAAACAGTGGTACTGTCTATGTGGACTCGTTTCTTTGCCTCCCTAGATACTGATCAGGGTTTGCATAACTGTTCCAGCATGATCATTTCAGAGTTAGGCAGAATGGATTTTGTCCTACCCCAGATTCTGCTGCTTTGGTTGGAGCTTTTGTTGTGAAGTATTCTAAAATCATTAAAACCACTTGAGTCAGCAACGACCCCTATAAATCAGGAGCTATTGTGTGCGCACTCATTCTACTGGTGCATGCTCCAAACATACGGTCATTGAAGATGAACTGGAGGGGACTGCTTTCTCTTCACCGATTGTTAAGTAGCTATGATTGTTAGCATTTGTTTGTGATTAGTGAAGCAGGTTTCCTTTCTGTGTGTCCTTCCCTCCCCACCCCCATCTCCTAAGATAAGGCCAGTCACAGCCATTTGGATGCTCTGTTAGTCTATCCTATAATTTTTCCCTTTAATTACCAAAGTAAATGAATTTTCTCTCACGACAAACATTTCTTTAGTCCAGAAATAGTGTCCTTGGTTATGGTAAGCCCTAGTTAGGTTTCTTTCTGAATCCATAGGAGAAGTGTACAAATACTGCCTTTGAGAACAATGCCAAAGCATCAGAAGCTGCGTATTACTTGTAAAGGGAAGATGTGCTAAGTGATTAAATTCTTGCTCCTTCCAAGTTTGTCTCCCATTAATTTATTTTTTTTTTTTTTTTAATTTTTTTTTTCAACGTTTATTTATTTTTGGGACAGAGAGAGACAGAGCATGAACGGGGGAGGGGCAGAGAGAGAGGGAGACACAGAATCGGAAACAGGCTCCAGGCTCTGAGCCATCAGCCCAGAGCCCGACGCGGGGCTCGAACTCACGGACCGCGAGATCGTGACCTGGCTGAAGTCGGACGCTTAACCGACTGCGCCACCCAGGCGCCCCATGTCTCCCATTAATTTATACGAATATGGAGTAGAATGGGCAAGTGGCAGAGCCTCCGAGATGAGCCCAGTCCTGGATGCTCTTCCCTTTTGAAATGAGGGACAAAGATGTGTGAGGAAGGTGTATTTGAACCGCTGAGCAACTCTTGGTCTGCTTTGGTCCCTTTTTCCAAGATTGTTTCTTCATCAGTTCACCACAGATTTGGGAGGAGTATGAGGCTCTAAGCAGATGGACATTATCAAGTACTAGTACTGTTTCCTATGAAAGAAAACCACGTTTCTGAGTATAAAATGGCCCCAGCTGTCTTCCAGGCAGCAAGGAGTTCTTGGCGCCTGACATAGATTGTGAATATCAGATACTCAGGGTCAGTGCAGTGTCTCCTTTTTATTTCTTTTCCCCCTTTCCAATTTTATTTTAATAATTAAAAATACTGCTGATCACACTGAATGACTTCTGGCAGAAAGGCGGTCTGTCCCAGAAGGACCAGTTGTGGGCCATCGGGTTTATGACGTCCATAAAACCAGAGCCACATCAGAGCATGGCCTCCCTGAGTGACAGGATTTTTGCTTCCACCAGGGTCCCCCATCAACTGACTGCTTTGGATATTTGTTTTGGGTTGGTTTTTTGTTCTGTTTTGTTTCCTGATGCATGTGTGACTGTACATGTGTGCACACATTTAAAGATATAAATGAAACAGGTATGTAATGCCCTCTGCCTGTTAGAAAGACTAAAGCCATCAAAATAACAAACGGCGTGTATTTGCTAGAATGTCAAAGTTATGAGTTTATTTTGTAATGATGTGCTCCTGCCTTCATGAGGTAAACTGGCCGTGGCGGAGGTGTTATTAGTAATATGGACTCAGTGGAGCAGAAAGCCGAGTGACCGAGAGATCAGTGTATCAGTCAGAGAGAGGGCAAATGGAAAGAGACAGCAGGAGAATGAGAAAGGAGCCACAGTGCCTGGGCTGAGATTAAAGACGGAGGAGGAGGGGAGCCCAGTGGTCAGATATGGTCTCCCCTGTTCCTGGGGCTCCTTCAGAGGAGTCGCTGGCATGTTGTTCAGCCCGGGGCTGTCTGCAAACACTGGTTCTCTGCACTTCCTTACCAAGGAAGGTGGTAATCTGAGAACAATTTTGCTTTCCATATTCCTTTCAGAGAGTCTCTTCGTCCTTCCTAGCTGAAGTTAAATGGGTCTGAGGCCAGCTGGGCCATACTGAGGGGATTACTTTGGTCACCAACTTCCTCATCCTTTGCAACGTCTTGATGTAGGGGCTGACCCAGCATGGAAGGGACCATCTCAAAGCTCCTAACAAGAAGGGGCAAAATGGGAATATACAGGTAGAATTTGCTGGTCTTTCATTTGTCAGATTCTTCCCAGAGACTAAAAATGAGTAAAAGTTATTACCAAGGAAGAAAAATTTGTGTTGTTATTTTCTGAAGGAGGAGGGGAGAGGGAAAAGAAAAGGTAAAATACAGTAAGCGCTCTACAACTGTTTAGAGCTCTCCAGGGCTACCCTAGATGACTGGCAATTACTACCCACTCGGCAGTTTGCAGTAGTCAGTGATCAGGCTGCCCGGCTTCCATTGCTGGGTCAGAAAACCTCCCTCCCTGAAAGAAATTATTAACCAGTCTTCGAGGGAAAAAGAAACCCTACAATTTCCAAGTCCACTCATATTTTTTTCTTCCTTTTCTTCTTCTTTGAGGAAAACTTTGTGGTTTCCAGTTGCAGGTACCTTTCAACCTCACACGGGTTAAACTCTTTCAGGGATACACCAAGGATTGAGGCCTTGTGTACTCCCTGGAACATTGGAAGAGAAAGACGGAGAGGCGGGCTTGGGTATAAATCACTGCCCTCTACCCCACACACTAAAAGGACTTCAGACTCAAGGGTTTGTGTGTGGGTCATGGGTCGCTTCCGGATTTTGCCAGCTTTAGGGCTGTGTCTGGGGACCAACTTCAAAATTCAAATGTAAGGGGGAAAGTAAGCCTTTAAAAAAAATTAGGAACCTAAACCTCATAGCGTTTAACTGAGACTTGTCATAAAGATTGTCAAAAGGCAGGCATGTTACCTCTTTGTGTAGACGTGTAGCAATTCCTCTGGCCTGCTCACAGTGAGGTAGCCTGCACTTCAGGGTCCCAGCCTCACCCACCACCATGGCTCTAGCTGAGTCGAAGTATGCTACACCTATCTGTGGCAGCTAGGAGAGAGAGAGGGTTGCTGGTTTTTAAATTGCAACAATGTATGTGATTGTTAAAAGCCTTTTTGATTTTTCTAAGTTCTCTTTTTTTTTTTTTTAATTTTTTTTTTTTAACGTTTAGTTAACATTGACAGACAGAGCATGAGCAGGGGAGGGGCAGAGAGAGGAGGAGACACAGAATCCGAAGCAGGCTCCAGGCTCTGAGCTGTCAGCACAGAGCCCAACACGGGGCTCGAACTCACAAACTGCGAGATCATGACCTGAGCCAAAGTTGGAGGCTCAACCGACTGAGCCACCCAGGCGCCCCAAGCTCTCTTTTTAAGACAAAGAAACCACAGAAGCTGGAATCTGTGTCTTGTGGAGAAAAGAACCCATTTTAGTGAGAATCGCAAAATAGACTTTGCCTTTATTTCTGTCAAGATGAATGTGTTTTCTCTTGCTTGTTTCTCTAGGTCCTTGGGCGGGAAGTATACACCTCCAATAACCAGCTTGGGGGCATCCAGATCATGCACAACAATGGGGTGACCCACAGCATCGTTTGTGATGACTTTGAAGGGGTTTTCACTGTCCTACACTGGCTGTCTTACATGCCTAAGGTGAGCCCTTTGTACCCAGCATTGACAAAGCCCACAGAACCAGGCCTCTCCACCAAGGATTACAGGGCCTCTGTGTTTGAGGTCTCCTCCTTATGGGGGAGAAATTGTTTTATGAAATATTCCTCTGGAAGTTGTTGGTTTCTCTTTTCCTTGCAGCTGTCTTTGGGTTTCTACCTTAAAATGCCTTTGGATTTCATTGGTATAGGCCCCTTTCTGATGTTTTCCAGTCACAGAAGCCTTCATGGCCTGTCTGAGCTCAGATCCCAGCATACCAAGGCCTCTTCCTCACTGTGGGTTTTCTCCTTTGCAATAGCCATCCATCCCCCTGGGAAGCTTCCCCTAAAGCATGGAAACACTGAAATCAAGAGTCAGAATGTACCACATTTTGCCAGGCTCCTACATGATACTTGAGACCTGTGCATGTGGTCAGGGCTTGGCATACAGTTGGGATGCCTCTCAGTGATGACTGGGACAGATAGGTGTGATTCCGTATGTGGTCCCTACTGCCTTTGTAATGATTGTGGCTGAGCTGGTACTACAGGCCTATTGTTCACTGATTGCTATGCTCTTTCCTCCCCACTGCCTTTCAGAATGTGCACAGTTTAGTACCTCTCCTGAACTCCAAGGATCCTATAGATAGAATCATCGAATTTGTTCCTACGAAGGCCCCCTATGATCCTCGATGGATGCTAGCAGGCCGTCCTCACCCAAGTATGTATTTTTTGAGGGTCCTTTGGTACCCTGGCCCTCAGGCTATCCGTCTTCCTTTTATTCACTAACCAATTCCTGCACAACAGTACATGACAAAACAGAGCTACTTTAGTAGTCTGGAAATGAGACACATCTTTAAAACAGCTCTCCAAAGATTAAGGTGGAAAACCCTTCCAGAACAAATGAGAAACAAAGGAAATAGATGTACAAGTCAGTCTCTGAGTCATAAGCAATACAGTCACTAATACATTTCTTCTGTTAATTCTGTTATTAAAGCACTTATTACTTAATGGGTTCAAAGACTTTAAATCTAAGCAATAAAGTCATAGAATCTTCAACCATCTAATCTCTGTAAACAAAGATTAATCAAATCAGTTTTAGAAAAGATATTTGACCTTCAGTGTAGAACATGACTATACTCTTGTCAGCACACTATTTCTGAGCATTCAGCCTGCCTGTGCCCTTTTTTCTTATGATATTGGTAATAGTTGGGACTTGCTGTAGTTATTCCTGTAAGATTATTTTGTAAGGTCATTATTCATGAAGAGATTGTCCAGAACTCTTGACTTCATAAATATATTGAGTGAGAACAAGCCCTCCCTCCATGTTTATCTCATATATCCCTGTCTTGTGGCTGATTTTACCTATCTTCAAAACAAAAAAACAGAAAAACAGTGGTGTCTCCATGTAAGGTGAATGTACATTCTCACTTGCCAGTTCATTAGGCTGCTTTAACAAACCTTACTTCTCAGGTGGTTCTTTTGTGAGGCCCCAAATCCCCCTACTACATTTTGAATCTGTTTTTTTCAGGTTATTTGAGAAAGTGTTCTTCTTTGCATGTTTATGGCAACTATTTCAAAAAAAGCCTTATTATCTAAAAGAAGAATGGAATGCAGAAGATAATTCATTAAATTTAAGAGTCATTTTGATTTTGTTGAAAGAAAAGAAGAGGTCTGTGTAAGGAAGACTTACTAAACCTCTGTGGGTACCCACTGTGAGCTAGGTGGGACTGCAAAGCACTTTCATATACATTATCTTCTTTAGGCTTTCTACTTCTCAGAGATAAAAAAAAAAAAAAAAAAAAGATCACCACTTTAAAAGCTCAGAGAAGTTAAGTGATTTGTGCAAGGTCACACAGCTATTACTTAGGAATTGGAACTTAATCTGCAGTCCAACTATAGATAGTATAGAAAAATCACCAGAGGAATTTCAATTTCAATTTTTACCTGTTGTCTTCAGTACCTTTTCTTACTTTTCATAAAATGAAATCGTTTTTCCTACATAGCCAGAAAAAATCACCATAGTAATCTCCCTACCTCTCATATGTGTACCATGATTATGATAAGAACTATGAACCTAAGATCTTGTCAGCCTTAAAATCCAGAACTTTTCTGGGGGAATTCAGAACAAGAGTCAGTGAGTCTTCTCCTGGGAATCATGAGGGTGGTGGCAGGGCGGGGGTGGGGAGGGGCATCTTAGTTGACTTATAAGTTCTACATCTGAACTGAACACAACCTGCTCTTTAAGGTTTCGGGGTGGGGGTGAAGTGAAGTCCACCTACAGCAGCCATGGCCCACCAATGACCCCCCTCCCCTAGTCAAAATACAAGGTGGGAAATTTTTTAAAAAAGAAAGTCTTTCCATTTTGATGAATTTTATAGTTCCAAATCATTATTATTGAAGTAAGAATCATAAAATGATCCAAGCATACAAAGTTAAAATTTCAGTATCCTGATACACTTAGAAGTTTGATTTAGAACCTTCATCAAAATTTGAGCCCTCTTTCATGGGGTGGACAGATGTGTGTGTATGTAGGTGGGCATTATCCTGGCCATTATTAATGAGATCCACAGAATAAAATGAAATTTGTGATAAACTAAGTTTTCTGTTTTTTGGATAATATTTTTTCATCGTCTCCCTAGTAATTCATCCTGCTGTCTATGTGCAGCTAACACTCGCTCCCAAATCGAGTGACTTCAGATTTTAATTTAGTGGAAGCGTTAAAGAAAGCAGATGATTCCCTGTGATAAGTTAAAGCAGATATCTTCTAGGTGAAAAGTTAAAGTCATTTATTAGAGGAGATAGTGCTGTGATATTCTTCAAACTGACGCCCAACACGAGACCAGAATCTAAACGATCGGCTTTGGGCTCACGATAGAGAGATAATTTTGAAATGGATGATCACATTTTACACTGGGGCCATAGAGGCAAGGAATGTAGAACACAGTAATTACAAATTTAGTCTTGATAAAACACTCTCCATCCTGTTTAAGTCAGCAGAGGTTAGCTTGCTCGGATCTCCACTTTTAATTGGTTTTGGACTTGGGTTTTTAGGGGGCGGAGGGCCATGTTCAAATTAGAAGGATCACTGAGAAACCGTGAGCTGAGGGGCAAGCTAGGAAACCGTTATTTGCAGAAGCTTTTATGGGGCCTTGGTCAAACACGGATACCTGTGGAACAAAAGTTTTTTTCTTAACCTGAGATGTCAAAAGTTACATGTCTTGCCAGTAAGGAAATTCTATGTACAAGGGTAGTTAATGACATTAAGTGCAAGAGTATGTGGGCATGGCCCTTCCTTAGAGAAAGATTATAGTTTGTCAGCTGTAAGTAAAGGGGATGTATCATGTATCTTGCTGCTTTTCTAGCAAAGAAGCCATTCCCCTTTTCCTTTCCCCACATTTGGGTCCTCATCTGATCATTAATACTTCTCATTGGCTGTCTTCAGCTTTCCATTACAAAAAAGTCAGTGGAATCAAACAAAATTGTAAGCTAAGTTTTAAAATAGAAGTAGACATTTTGAAAACACTTTAATGACTTGGCTGCCTTTTGACAAATGTTTGTGGTGTTTTGAAAAAAGCCAAGTTATTTATTTAAAAGCATGCAAACTCTGCTAGCTGAACCCCATTGTTTAACAATAAATGATGCTTTTGCTGATAAATGATTCTTTTTATGCAGACTAGCAAATGAAATAGGAGATGATGTCTGAAGGCAGATGAACATTCAGCTGCCTAATGCGTGCATCTATTATAATATGGTTAAAAACAACAACAAACTCCCCAAAATAATCCTCCAAATCCAACCTTAAATTTGCCAGTTCCAGTGCATTTTCAGTGGATTGATGATCTTTATTCTCCCTTTGTTCTCTTTCTTTCCCTTCTGTAGCCCAGAAAGGTCAGTGGTTGAGTGGATTCTTTGACTATGGATCTTTCTCTGAAATCATGCAACCCTGGGCACAGACTGTGGTGGTTGGCAGAGCCAGGTAAGAGCCCTTTTGTTTTGGAAGCTCTTCTTCCTCCCAACTAAAACCGAGAGAGGAAAGGGCCATAGCTATATAGGTTTGTTTTGTTTTGTTTTACCAATAATGATCTCTTTGTCTAAACTTTCGAAGAATATTGGATTATAGTCATGCCCAACCAAGGCAGCATAACTGAAGTGCTGGTTCCCAGTAGTCATTTACTGTGTCACTCCAATGATGCGTTTAATCTGAAGTCTGGTTTTGACACTTCCTTTTTATAATGCTGAAAGAAAAGCTCTCTGAGGGCTGTAAAGCCCAAATACAATAGCCATAGCCCACCAATGACCTTCCCCTTCCCCAAAGACCATTTTCTTTCAGAGGCAGGTGACAAATGAATCAGACTCATCTACCTTTCCATGTAACCCAAAAGATCTATGTAACCTAGAAGAAGTCCCTTCCTGGCAGTGAGATTATTTAAGTAACAAACGTACTATATTGGTTTATCATCAGATTTGAATTGCAAAAAAATAAAATAAATAAAATAAAAAAGTTTGCCTGAAATAGGAATTAGTAAAATAAACTGGGATAGATTGCTGGACTACCTATATTTTTCAAATGGGAAATTGAAGTTTCTATTAAATTTTAATACCCCCTCTAAGAAGTGCTTCACTCAACAGCAAGCCCTGCACGAAATCATCTGTAGCGCTCGCTATAACGAGCACCTGCCAAGGCTGATCCTAATCTCGTTCTGCACTGCGGAGACATGCTGCCCCAGGGACCCACATCTGGAACTCACCTTCCTCTCGGGGGCAATCAGTTTTCCTTATCTTGGTGAAAAGTGGCACCTGCTCAAGATTCTCAAACATGCCACATTGGGTTGAGATTTAGATTCTAGCCTTGAAAATAATTCTAGGCTTCATGGTTCTCTCTGTACAGCAGGTCAGCACGTCTTATGCTGCCAATGACAAGGAGCCATCAGATGGCAGATCCAACAGACAGGGTCTTCCACTGTGACTCTGAATAAGAGTCAGGCCTGGAGTTAGCCCAGACTGAAACTCACAGGGGCTAGCTCCCATTTTCTCTCACGTCTCAGGTCTTCTACCTCACCACGGGCCTCCGGGTCCCAGTGAGAACTATTCTTTGTGCCTGGTAAAATTCCATGGAGGGGTGGGGGTACACTGGAGATAGAACCCTCCTACCAGAGTCTATTGGTTTGTTATGGAGGGTCCTTATATCACAGACCAACTTTTTTGAAAATTTGTCTGTTACCTATTCTGCTTCAGTTTTTGGTCTGTAAAAATCATGACAGATTTTAAGCCTCAGAAAGTGAAACCTTTGTTTAGGTCTTTAAGATCCTCCCATGGGAAACAGGAAAATGCTTCACACTTATGATTGGAAGAATAAGGATTGTTCTGTGAGCAAGATCAGTCAAGCTTGGCTTTAGTTAGCTCTGCCATTGTTTATTGCAACACCCGCTCTGACTTCTTCCTTTCTTTCCATCTGATGAGTTCTGGGCTTCTTACTCCAAACACATACACATGCTCACAAGTATATAAAACACAAATGGAGCTAGCTTCTTTCAAAAGCAATGGTATTTCAAGAAATAAATATAAATGTATTCTTCTGGGATTGTTACTGTAAGTGCTGCCAAAACTCATCTTTGGTATGTATGTTTGGAATATGTGTGCTATTGGCTGTAAATTGTCTTTTATTATTCCATGGCACCTTGTCCAGGGACACACTATAAAACAAGATGTAGCATCTTCATGTGCTAGCCTGATAAAATTTATATGAAGTATAATAGAAAACAGAAGTTGTTCTGAGCTGTTTTCAAGTTCAATAAATAACTGTAATACTCGGATAAAGATGTTCTTTATTAGGTCACATGGGCCCTAATATATAAGTTATAAGTTACCGATTTAGGGTGGCTTTTGCAATTACAAGTTTCCAGTTGGATTGTTAATCATTGTGAACAGAAATATTTCTAAACCCTCCTGTGTACCTCCTGCTCGTTGTCTGGTTGTCTAGAGGGCTTTTGATTCTGATTCAATGCAGGCAAGTGACAAGGGGGTGGGTGGTCCCCACTCAGGCCCCTGTCAGGCCTCTTGTGATGACAAGAATCCATTTCCAGTAGCCAGTGTAAGACTATCCTTCATGGAAAAGTTTGTTATGGAGATGCTGTGGGGAATGAGAGACTATAACCCATCCCAGCCCTAGCCCCAAGGAACGCAGCTGAGAAAGTGCAGCCTGAATTGCATTTTCCAGAGTAAGCACTCACGCTGTACCTTACAGCAACCACCATCCCCCTCTTCTCTTTCTTCCTGATTTTTATCAGGAAATCTTTCTGAGGACCAAGTTAGGAGGGTATCATGGAGCATAGATGCAAAGCCTTTTCCTGGAGTTTTTTAAAATTAACATATGTTGGAGATTAAATGTATACTTTTAATATAGATCACCTATTTCACCAAGATTACTGCTGCAAGCTATCCCTGTTCCCCTGCTCTCTTCCAATGAAATAGAAAGCTAAGGGCTTATTTAACCACCTCTGCACCCTTGGCACTGCTTTTCATCATCTCCATAAACACCTACACATTTCCCATTCATATACTCAGTGTAAGACCGACTATACTCTCAAATAATCTTATCCAGAACCACAGTATTAGTACTCCATAGAAATGACAGCTCTATTCCAGCAACACCAGCTTAAATTCTCAGGTGCCTCCTACCTTTCAGACCTTTTCTCTCTGTCTTCACCAAAGCAATGCTCTAGAGTGATCTGAGAAATTTCATTTGGCATCCACAGAGATAGGTGTGTGCATATATGCGCACACACACATCTAGACTGTTGAGTGTAACTCCTGAGGCTCCCCTAGTACAACCCTTGGTTTGAATTTATCATGTGGAGAATAGAAGTGATTCTGAGGGGAGGCTCCCTTGGATTTATAAAAATGTATAGTATTTATCAAATCCAGTCTCACATTTCACCCCTAGAAGCGTCAGATTTCCCTCTGTTCTCTGTATTTGCAGTCTCCAGTGCCCCCACCGTGATGTTGTGATGTGGGGCTGGAAAATAAATGACTAGCTGTACTGTTTACATATATCAGATTCTTATTTGGGTCATTTTTTATCAGGCTAGGAGGAATACCTGTAGGAGTAGTTGCTGTAGAAACCCGAACAGTGGAACTAAGTATCCCAGCCGACCCTGCAAACCTGGATTCTGAAGCCAAGGTAGGTAACCTCAAGTACCCTGTGCTACTGTGCTTGGAGCTGGATTTCCCATCTGCAGAGCCTGTGGATATATCGGGGGCATTGCACACCACCAATTTGGGAGGGAATGGTAGTTAGCATCCTTGAGTAATTTCAGACCATCACGTGCTCACTTTTAAGGTGACTCTAAAATTTTTTTTTTTTTTTTTTCAACGTTTATTTATTTTTGGGACAGAGAGAGACAGAGCATGAATGGGGGAGGGGCAGAGAGAGAGGGAGACACAGAATCGGAAACAGGCTCCAGGCTCTGAGCCATCAGCCCAGAGCCTGACGCGGGGCTCGAACTCACGGACTGCGAGATCGTGACCTGGCTGAAGTCGGACGCTTAACCGACTGCGCCACCCAGGCGCCCCATTAAGGTGACTCTAAATGGATTGCAATCTACCTGGAAAATTACTTGGGCCTTTACAATGGTCTTGTTGATGCTAGAAAACAGTCTAGATTCATTGCAGCTGAGGGCTCTTTGGTCCCAGATTCTCTGAACACACACATGGATAAGAAGTCTGCCCTAACGCCAGAGGTGAACACTGCCACCCATCTACTTTTTTTAAAGGGTAGATTACATCCTGATAAGATCCAGAAAATGAGGGTGGGGGAAACTAGGGACGAGGTTACTCAGCAGTGTCACGTCAAATGTTTGCTGATCAACTCCAGTATGGAGAAAGCTGTACTAAGCACAGAAGTGAGAGGAGTGTAGACTATGTACCGTTAGCTTGCTTTGAGGACTGGTGTAGTTGAGCCATGTACAGTTGCTTTCTGGAAACCTAGAATGAGGATTCCCAAGACTGCATTCGTCCATTAGAAGCAGTAAAGTTTCCTTCTTCCGACTGAGGAGTGGTAGTGTACTCAGGACTTAAAAAGAGGAGAATTTGACAAAGTCAAAGATCCAGGATCCTTTCTTCTTTTTTACTTCAAAGATGATCCTTTTTTTTTTTTTTTTTGAGTTTTATTTATTTATTTTGAGAGAGAGCGAGAGAGCGATCACGTGATTGGGGGAGGGGCAGAGAGAGAAGTAGCGAGAGAATACCAAGCAGGCTCCACACTGTCAACACAGAGTCTGATGTGGAGCTCAAACCCACGAAAATTGTAAGATCATGACCCAAGCTGAAATCAAGAGTCGGACACTTAACCAGCTGAGCCACCCAGGAACCCCAAAAGATGATCCTCTTGATGAACAACAGTTTTTGTGTGTTTGGTTTGGTTGAGTTTTTAAAGTAAACCAGTAAAACTTTGTTCACCTTGGGGAGACTTCCCCTCAAGCTCCATTGTTAATTGTGTCTTCCTCTTTGACTTTCCCCAATAGATAATCCAGCAGGCTGGCCAGGTTTGGTTTCCAGATTCTGCGTTTAAGACCTATCAGGCTATCAAGGACTTCAACCGCGAAGGGCTGCCTCTGATGGTCTTTGCCAACTGGAGAGGCTTCTCCGGTGGGATGAAAGGTGATTGGCTTGGCTCTGGGCTGGAGGGGCATAAACTGATTCCCCAGAACCTCACAGCACAGAGGAGGGTTTATAATGGGCAGAGCCAATGGGTTTCCTGACAACTATCACCCTAGGCTTTTGGGGGATCATACTTCCTCTGAAATATATCTTCTGAGTTGCAGCTTGAGTGGGAAAATTCTGGATGTTTTACAATTCCATACAAAATTTCAGAACCGTCCACTTGTGTTCTCTAGATGGGCTGCTGTTGTGGATTTAGCTTTCCCGGATGAATGATGACTGTTCTGATGGTCCTGGGGAAATGTGATTGTGCTAGTCTCTGTCCCTCTTTTCTGAGCACTTTTTGTTGATGTTATGCTCTAACACTCTATAATGACCAGGGTAGATACTGAAATTAGCCTTCACCAGAAGAAAACAAACAAATTCTGTACCAGAGGCTGTTCTTTGTGGTAATTTGTGGTGTATTTCATTCTTATCCAACAACAGCCCTGGGCCTATGGCTCCAGCATATTAGAACATTATTATACAGGCTCTGTTCTGTGCTATGGGAATTGCTTAGTGATCTCAGCAGCTAGTATCACCATTTACTGAGAATCCTCCCTGTGCACAGCTACTGTGGATTGTTCAGGAGAGCCAAAGGTAACACCTTCTACCTCGTACAGCAGCAAAGCTGTCTCTCCAGCGGCCAGAGATTCATGGCCATGCTGAGGCCAGAGACTACATACCAGGAGGGGATGAGTACACTGATGAGTATAACTTCATTCATGGGGGGAGACGTCTGGGTTCTGTAGCAGTAGAATGAGTGAGGGGAATAGAAGGAGGGAGGGGTTGGCAATGCTGGAGTAGAGTGGTCAGAGATACGGACATATCAAATGCGAAAGAATGAACCCAGAAATAGCTTAGCACAGGAGCATCTTTGGCTCTGAAGGAGGAAAAACCTGAGGAAGTTAGCCCTTTTATAGGTTATCAGCTGTGTATGGAGAGAGATTAGAGCTTTGTGCCAACAACTTTCCCTTCACCTGGCTAGGAAAAGCCCTGTACAGCCAGGCTTCCCTGGCAAAGTGTAAAAGACTAGTGTGGTTTTTCTTTTCTTTTTTTTCAGTTGTAAAGTTTCCCGTTGCCCATATTTGCTGGAAATCTACCACATTTTGCACTTTTCTTGGGGGAGACTTGGACTATACATTCAAATTAATGTTTTTATACTTTGATAGACTCTCAGGTGAATTTTGTGACAAAGATAATAAATCAGTGGAAATGCCGTGAGATACTGAAAGTGTAGGTTCAACAAGTCAATCCTGGACATTGTTATTGAGTTCCTACGTGCAAGGAACTATGCTAGCTGCTTCCGAGAAAACAAAACTGAGTCAGAAAGAGACACTGCCTCAAGGAGTCGAGAAAAATGTCTGAGGCAAAATGATAAAGCCACAAAGTATAAACAAAATACTACAGTGTTCAAAAGAGTATGTATGATACTATGCTGAAGTGTTTTTCTCTGGGGGAGGAGCCTGAGACTCCTTTCATTCCTTTATATGAGGTTTATTTAGCATCCAGCTTCACTTTATCCCACATTTCTTGGCTATACAATTTGCATTAAGACTTAGAGGAGAGAATGCAAAGCCGGTACTCCTTAGTTATCTCTCTTCCCGAGGGCCACTGAGAATTCACTCTTCCTGACCTTCCTTAGGAGTAAGTCAGCCTGGCTCTTTTGTCCTAAGGAGTTCAGAGTTCAACAGCTTGCTGCTTGTAGGAAAAGCTTCAGTTCTATTGCATGTGGCTCAGGCCCAGGTTGGCTGCCAGCCCTGTAACAATAAAAGCAACAACAATTAGGAGTCATTGAGCTCCTTTCGCCAGAAACCGTGCTAACCATTTTATGTGCACTGTCTTACATAATCGTCACAACAAGCACTTCTGAGGGGTAGGCCGTAGTATTTATCTGCCTTTTACATAAATTGAGACTTAGGTTAAGTAAATTTCCCAAGATCATTTAGCTGAAGAATGACAGAGCTGGGAGAGGAACACAGCTCTGTCTGACTTCCTCCAGCACAGTTGGCTGAGTTTAGAGCCTAGGAGCAAACCAGGTCTACCAGAACATCCCCTGGAATAGACTGTGTAGGTTCCTGAGAAAGTTCTTAGCCACCTGCCTGTCTTCTGCTTTGAAGTTGTCCTTGGTCACTGTGATAAGAAACTTCAAGTGGTCAGATAGGAGTTATTTTTTTTCATATTGCAGGAAAGTACATATAACATAATGTTTATCATTTTAACCATCTGTAAGTGTACTATTCAGTGGCATTAAATATATTCACATGTTATGTAACAATCAGCACTAAATATACCCCAAACCTTTTCATTATCCTTGACACAAATTCTGTACCCATTAAACAATAACTTCCCCCATCCGCCTCTCCCCCCCGCCTCTGGTCAAAAATGAGTTACTGGCCTGATACAGGCCAGGGCCCGTTCTGTCTTCAGAGTTTTGGTGCTGCTGTATCCATTATCACTTAAGATAAATAAGCTTTGGGGAAGATAGAGATCAGTGTAAATGTAGGAAGGGGAAGAACATTGCCTTTCATATTTACATACAGGTCAGGATGTTTTCTACATATTATCTCATGTAAAGGGACCTAAGCTGAGAGTCATTCCATATCCCTTGGGGAGATGTTTGCAGTTTTGGTTTCAATACTGGCTGGGGATTATGCAGGGAGGGAAAATAAACAATTATGCCATCCCTCAGTGCACACAAACACACAGCCAGGAGCCGACTGCACTGTGGGTAAAATGACTCCAAAATTGTGTGTAATGAGTAGGAAAAGATTAGAGACAGCTCTTGCTATGCTGAAAATTGACATTAGTGGAGAGAAAAAAAAACTCTTTACTAGTCAGCCTAGGAGGTCTAATTCGAGCAGTAAAAATATAAATAAATAAATAAAAGTATGTCAAGATGGTATTGGTGCTTTTTTTCCAATGAGTTCTATCTGGCCGGAAGGCTATTCAGCATAATGCAAAATTAAATTATAAAAACTGGCTGAATATTTAGATGGAAGAGCCATTTGGAAGCAGTTTATTTAGGCGAACCGGCAATGACCCACAACAGGGAGACATCAAGCGTGAAATTTACTAGAAATTAGCACCAGGGTCCCAGCCTCAGCATGAATAGCTTGATAGGATGCAAATCCCAGTGATATTAAGCTGCCTCACTGCTGGTGCTACAGGGTCACTCTCAGTTGGCTTTTCATGTTATACTTATTATTTTTTCCTGGGACAGGTTATAAATAACAATAAAAAAACATTTATTGAAAACTTTAACCGGAATGAAAGTCTATTTTAAAGTCTCTGATTACTTGGATGTTGAAAGACTGTGTCAGCCGGCCATAATGAACTGGCATAATGTGTATGCAGCTTGTGTATGCCTAATGTTTACCTTCAGCTTCTAACAGATAATCTCGCCCCAAGCCAATAAGATCTGTTCCAGTTTCAAGAGTATGGGGCACTGTGGAAACACCCTACCACCCTGCTCCCTTGTTTGGTACATGTGGCTGCCACAGTTTATCCATGTTGTATAACAATGAAGGCCCCGGGCAGGGTTGGTGCTTGGTTGCTGAGAACGCACCAGAAAGGCTCTGTGATTGTATGCAGATGTGCTTTGCTCACAGTGCTTAGAAAGTACCAAGCCCCCGCCTCTCCACTGAAGAACCTATCAGTATTGTCCATTCTTAGTTGCTTTTCCCATGGCCTGAGAATTGACAGTCAGCATATGCATAGCTTTACAATTCCCTAGACTGATTTCTCACCTAAAGCCTTGGGAATACACTCTCCCCTGCTACACTTGGCTGTGCTTTTGCTCTGTCTCAAATAGGAAGAGATTTCATACAAATATGTATCAGACTATGGCCACACGCTTCAGCGTGCCCTTCAGAATGTACGGTTTGGGGCTGCTGTGATTCAGTGTGAGCGTGTTGTTTGTAGAGTTTGTTTTGTGTGTGTCAGTTTATATTTTAATAGCCTTTTGTTGTTTTTTGGGTGTTCTGATGGTTGGATTGTGGGTTTGTTGGTGTTCCAGGTTAGATGGAGGCATTGTTTTTGGTCCTGAGCCTGTCAGCTTTAATGAAGCCTGGGGCCCCTTTTCTACTCCCAGTCATGGGGCCTGAAGGTAATTGCTTGGCAGTCAGATCCAAGCCCTTCACATAGCTGTGTAGTGTCATCAATACAATTTCTTACTTTTATGAACATACAAAAAGTCCAGGCAAAATTTAAAAATATTTAGTCATTTTATTTCAGTCTCTTTTCTGGTTTTTATTTTACTCAGCCATTGTATCAGATGCTAGAAAGCAGCCTTGGCCTCCCGCTCTTTCCTTCCAGTAAGAATGAGGTCACAGAAAGTGGACTTCAAGAATCAAAAAGATCTGGGTTCGAGTCTCATACTCTGCCACTTATTCACTTATTTAACTAAGCCTCAGTTTACTCATCTATAACTCGGGTTAGAAGAACATGGTTTTCTGATAATTAAGTGATTCATTTGTGTGTGTGTATGAAATCATGCTGCCTGATATGCAGTAAACTAGCCATGATGATGAAAAAGAGGGACTAAAGTTCATTTCAGAAAGTAAAACATGCACACTCAGCTTCATCCCAAACTACTTGCATATATGAACTTGAGGGTATCTTTTTAAATGTTTTTTTAAATTATGTTTTATTTTTGAGAGAGAGACAGAGACAGAGACAGAGACAGAGTGTGAGCACGGGAGGGGCAGAATCCAAAGCAGGCTCCAGGTTCCAAGCTGTCAGCACAGAGCCCAGTGCAGGGCTCAAACTCACAAACTGTGAGATCATGACCTGAGCCAAAGTCAGATGCTCAATCGACTGAGCCACCCAGGCATCCCATATGAACTTGAGTTTAAAAAATTAAATAAATGGGCGTGCATTTTAAATAAAGTCCTTTCAAGGGGCTGGGTCTGTTAATCATAGATAGTACAGACAGATTTTGATGTGGGTGTATCTTTAAGAAACAGAAGTGAGTGAGAAGGCTGGACACTGTCTTCGTTTACTTCTAACTTTTTCCTCTTTCTTTTGTGTGCTTTTTTTCTATTGTTTTACTTTCTCCTTCTATCCATGTCTTCCATTTCTTCTCTGTGCATGACACCACTGAGGGCTACTCCTTTCCGTTACTTGTTCTGAGGCTGAGACTGTACTCTTGGCAGCACTGAAAAATGTACTGCTAATTACACAATTATTTTATTATGTAGCACTGGTTGAAATATCCACTAAAGAATTAATTTAGTTAAAATAATTTGAACTGAGCAATTATTTTCATAACCACAGAATTAGCGTAAAGCGCTTAAAGTCCTTTATTCCCTGCTCTTCATACAGCAGTTGTGTAATTAGCAGTAAATTTTTTTGGTCTTTGCTTTCCTCCCAAAGGGATAAATGTCTTTGCTCTGATCATATATACAGAGTATATGACCATACACATTCCTCATAGGGTAGGGAGTTTTTCCCGGAGCAACTTCTAAATTTCTGGAGTTTCTGAAGTCTTCACAGAGCAGCCAGGTTGGGCAATGGAGAGAGGCATATACTTTGCAGTTAACTGTGCTCACTGATGGTTTGTATAGAGAGAGCCATTTTTACTTTGGAGAAGGTGGCAGTTTAATTTGCCAGTAACTACAATGAAAGCAATTTCTATTTGGATTTGCCCTTAACTTTCTGAAAAATGCTTTTTTGCTCTGGATTTCCAGAATTGATTTATTCCAAATTGAGATCCTTGCTTTGATAGGAAAGTTTGAACTCAGTTGAACCTGTTATTTGGTGTTTAGAAAGGATCCATTGAGGTTCTGCTGAAGTGCTCATTAAACATCTGGAATCATAAACCTAAGACTTTAGACATGCACAGACTTCAGTGAGCTGGGAAATGGGAAGAAGTCCATAAATTGTTGGGAAATAAATAATAACTGATCCTACTTTCCAAGGACTCTATTTATGCACCAGGGTGCCTTTTCTTCAGGTTGCTCCTAGCCTTGTGGGGGATTACAAAGTGTACTCTTTAGCAAAATGAAGAGGTAGCTCTTCTTTTTATGTGGCTGTGTGATGTTTCCAGTAAATACATATGCATTTTATTTTATTTTATTTTTTTTAATTTTTTTTTTTTTAACGTTTATTTATTTTTGGGACAGAGACAGACAGAGCATGAACGGGGGAGGGGCAGAGAGAGAGGGAGACACAGAATCGGAAACAGGCTCCAGGCTCTGAGCCATCAGCGCAGAGCCTGACGCGGGGCTCGAACTCACGGACCGCGAGATCGTGACCTGGCTGAAGTCGGACGCTTAACCGACTGCGCCACCCAGGCGCCCCAATACATATGCATTTTAAATGTTTTCTCATATTGATGCCCTGGTAAAAATGGAACTGTTAAAGAATTAACTTGTTTTTCTTTCTCGTTATGTTCTTTCCAAAGTGCATATGTGCTCACCCATTCATTCAGCAGGTACTTACTCTGAGCACTATGTTCCAGGCACTGGACAAGACACTGGGGATACCAAGAGGAAAGATGCCATTTTGAAGATAAAAATTTTGAAGGCTCCATTTCCATTAGCTATACCTTTTAAGAGCTTATCATATTCTAAGTATCATGAGGAGACTTGAAAAGAGCTTGAATAGTTCCTTCCTTCAGAAAACTTAATGTAGTGAGAGAGATCACATATTAACATGAAAAATACTCAGTGTCTGTAGAGCAAGTGTGAATTAATATAATGAAACCAGAATCTGGCAATTCAGAAAGGCTATAAAGTGGATATGCAATCCATAGGGCTTGCACACTGTCTTATGAAAGACAGTGCACTTCTCTTGTGTTTTTGAAGATCCTGTAGAGTCTTGAATAGCATTACAGGTGGAAATCCCCATCCTTTCAATTTTTCAGGGTGGCCAGACAGGACCTAGGGTGGCTGAACCCCCAGACCTGTCACCTCTGATCTGAGCAGCCTCCTCATGGAGGCACAGCTCACGATATAAATATTGTTTTCTGTGTATACCATGATGTGAACGATGTTTGGAAGCATTGTTTCATGATTTCTGATTTGTCTCCTCTATAGATATGTACGACCAGGTGCTGAAGTTTGGTGCTTACATCGTGGATAGCTTACGGGAGTGCTCCCAGCCTGTGTTGGTTTACATTCCTCCTCAAGCTGAGCTCCGGGGTGGCTCCTGGGTAGTGATTGACCCCACCATCAACCCCCGGCACATGGAGATGTACGCTGACCGAGAAAGCAGGTAGCATTTCTTCTTTTTTTCCATTCACTGCCTCTGAAGGTCCTCTAGCTGTTGGTTTCCTCCTGGAGAACATTATAACCAGAAAACTTTATTTGAATCTCTATTTCCAGAGGAGCACTATAATGTTCTCCTGGAGAACATTATAACCAGAGAACTTTATTTGAATCTCTATTTCCAGAGGGTTACAAGGTCAGAAAAATAGATTTCCTAAATAGTGTCTGCTGGGATGAGGAAGAAAGGAGGTAGGGGTCAGGCTTTCCCAGTGTGGTCCCCCACCCCAGATTCTTTTACCAAGAAGTCCTCTATCCCACATATCCCCAGACTCAGAGAGATTGTCTCCTCTGTTTGTGTTTCAGATAGGCCTATTACTGTCTCTTTCTTAGATATGGGGCAGATGGAACTGAAAGCAAGTTGGTGTAGAAGGACTAAAGTGTTAGTCTGGAGTTCTGAAGCCTTAACTGACTGGTGAGCAACTTGAAGCAGTTTTACTCCTCCTGAACTGCTTATCTGTGGAACAAGCTGGTCGTCACTGGGGTGTACCATAGCACCTGCCTTCTGTGATTCCAAACCGAAGCTGCTCCCTCAGTCCAGTGTCGCACTCTGGCACTCTAGGACACTTGGAGAACAGTGTTTACAGCATCCAAAGGACTGCAAAAGAAAAAGTCCCAGACCTTTGTCAAGAGGTGGTCCTTGAAACTACTTAAGTAAAACAGACCACATCCAGCTTCCTTTCACAATCAGTTTTCAGCCCTTTCCAAAATAGGGAAATTTCACATTGTATTTCTTTGACATTTTCCGTGCCACTTCCTGCATCTGATCATTTTACTTGAATACCTGCTTCTCTGTTTCTGCAAAAATTTTAGCCTCCTGCTTCAAATGCTGCTTGGGAGAATCCAGTAGTTTTATCAAATCACTCAGCTAGCAGTCTACACCCAGGGATTTATTATTTTTAAATCCAAATCTAGCCCCTGATCTGATACCAGATCACAGACAGTTCCTCTGCAGACTGTGGAGCAAGACCACCGGGTTTCAGATGCAGCTGTGTCACTTGTTAGGCTCGGACAAGTCTCTTAACGCCCTGTACCTTAGTTTCCTCATCTGTAAAATGGGAGATAATAGTAACTTCCCTCATAGAGGGTGTAGACTGGGTATAGGACTACTGTGAAGATTCATGTGTAAGCACTTGGAACAATGCCATGTATGTACTAAGTAGTGGCTGTAATTTTTTTCAATTGAAAAGCTTTTTTTTTTTTTAAGTTGTATAGGGTAACGTTCCTAGTAATAGAACAAAATTAGTATGCACTAGTAATAACCCTGAGACCTCTCCATAGCAGTAGGCAGAATGTTTTCTTTCCTGCTTGGCCCAGCCCAGTGTGTCATCCTGCCAGCAGACTAACAGCTGTGCGTGGGACCGATCAGCATCGACCTCTCATCGCACAGCCTAAGTGCTGGAGGCTGGTCCCCTGCCACGGTGCCTACATCATCTTTTTTTTTTCTTCCCCCTCCTGGAAAATAATGTGATTCCTGCTACCCTTATCGGCTGTAGATGGTGGAATCTATATTCCTCTTTTGAGATGGAAGTAGACTGGTGTGGTAATGAGAATTATTTTAATTGCTTTTTGCCAGGCCTTTCTCACAGCCCACTTAGATACTTTTTGATGCCTGCCTCTCCCTGGGGTTACTCCTGTGAGCCATGGGTGGCCAAAACCATAATGAAGCTATTTCCTGGTCTGCAAATCGTAACCAGCCTCGTTCAGTTGTCTCCTTCCTTTAAAGTGCCTCTATTTCTGTTTTGTTTTCTTTCTCTCTGATCCAGGGGATCAGTTCTGGAGCCAGAAGGGACAGTAGAAATCAAATTCCGCAGAAAAGATCTGGTGAAAACCATGCGTCGGGTGGACCCAGTCTACATTCGCTTGGCTGAACGATTGGGTATGTCTGCTTGTCCTCCTGGCAAATCAATGAGCCATTCAGCTGATTTGTAATGAGTGCATTCATAGGCCAGGGGAGGAGGCACTGAAGCATTTGATCAAATTCATGATAATCTTTATTTACTGTCCTCTATATGGTAAGAGCCATGGTAGAATGAAATAGTGTATGTAATAGGAGGGAAAGTAGGACCTAAAAAAGCAAAAGTCACCCAAGTTTTCTTCTGATATTTTCTTATAATTCACACAGTCCATCTTTCTGGCCTTGTGGATGATATCCTCGTAAAGAACAATTAGCTGGAAGTTGCTGTTGGGGGGCAGGCTAATCAGGCAGAGAGTATGCTTTAAAGTCCTCAAAAGTCTTAAGAGTTCCGTTTCTGGTTGTCTCTTTGGACATTTCTGAGGAATGTGAGTCGATGTCATGGGACAGAGAAGCTGGAGACCTACCCAGGTGGAGTTCCAGGGCCATCTCGAGCTAGAGAAACCCAAGTAAAGACTACGCACAGCCCTGGGAACATTTGTGCGCACTACTCTGTTGCTCATTTGTTTTTGGAGCTTTGGAAGGGCTGCAGCTTGCACATAGGACTAAACTGTGGGAGCCCTGTGTCAAGTCCAGAGACTGAAATGCATTTCAGGTTCTTCTGAAGCACTGATTATCTGCCTAGACCTCCCATCAAGCCCCTCACTAGGTTAGTGAAGATAATTGCTTGGAGTCCTTTTGTTAGTTTGTTTTGGTTTTGTTTTTCTAGGAACAGAGTGATTGTCTTTAAAAGGTAATGAAACTCCGTGAATGGAAGGCATAAAAAGGAGAGGTGCTAGTTCATTTATGTTTCAAATAGTAATTTAATTAATAAAGTACCATTTGTGGACGCTTTATATGCTCACTATCTAGAGACACAAAAACTTCTGAGTGTTTGCCTGCACTCTAGAAGACCGCACATCCTGGTGGTTTGGAGCCCTGAGCCAGGTTGCCTGCCAGACACGGTGACTTGGGTTATAATAAACCCTGTGTGCCTCCCATTGTTTGCCATTAGGTAACAACCACCAATAAGTCTAACCCATCTCAGCCTGATCCCTTTATGGGAAGTGCACACATACAACAAGAATTGGCAAAGCTGTTTCTAAAATCTATTGCCACCCAGAATTGTTGAGGTGGTTTTTTTCTGTCTCTTCTCCAAACAGGATAATTACTTCTGACCAACCCCATACACTTTAATTAAAGTAACTGCAGCTCAAGAGCAAGTTCCTCACAACTGTATACAGTGAGAGCTCTAAAAGCTTCAGCCACTGATAAGCATCTCACTTAGATGGCTCATAATTGCTCCCAGCATCAGGCAGTCGTTCTGCTGTTTTTACCACTAATTCTGTACAAAGGCAGCAATGCCACAATTGCAGGACACAGTGAATTGCATAATTTTCTCTCTCTCTCTTTTTTTTTTCTTTTTTTCTTCTTCTTCTTCTTCTTCTTCTTCTTCTTCTTCTTCTTTTTTTTTTTTTCTTCTTTCTTTTTTGCTGGTTTTCTTTCTGGCCAATTTAAAATTTGTCAAAGTCGGTCTTCTTCTGGATCACTGCCCTTTGATATTTCGCGCACTCCATTTGCCACAAACAAGCCGCAGGGCCGCAGTTCATGCTGACTCTAGCAGAAGCAGAGAGAGCTCCATTTATCTTACACTGCCTGCTGAATTCCTACTCATTAACTGGGGGTTCACTGCCTCTTTTTAACCCCCCAATGGCTGTTATCATCCCTTCAGAGTAACTGGGTGGTAGGAAGAGGGATCCTCTCTGACATCTGTTTGCAGAGCAACCGGATGGTGAGGGGTGTGGGGCCAAAGCTTCTTTCTCTTGAAGGAAAGTGATATCGCTCCCACCTTCACCCAGCACCTTTTAACTTTTGAAATACAGGAAGGGGAGAGGGAGGAGATTTCCAAGTGATGGCCATTTAATCATTTGTTACAAATCATCTCATTATCAATTTCCTCTCTGCATTGAAGAAAACCATATTTATTTAACCTTGACCAAAATGGCATTGGAGAAAGAATCCTTAGTCTGCTAAATGTGAAGCAGCTCTGGCCCAGGGCAGGTCAGGAACATGAGAGTAGGTCTAGAATAAAAATAGTCATGTATAAGCCTCAGGTTGCTTGTAGGTAAATTGTTTCACTTCTCTGAACATTAGTTTCTTCATCTAGAAAGTGGGGATAATGCCCCAACCTAGCCATTGTGAAGATCAGATGAATGTGCATTCACTTTGAATCTGTGAAGCATTTTTCAAACATAGGGTTTGGCATCATTTCTTGCCTTAATTATCAGAAGAAGGAGACAGCCATGTTTGCTATCTCTGTGGCATAGGTCTACTTTTGTAACAAGTGGTATAGGAAAGGAAATACGAAAGAAGTAGAAAAAGTGGTCTTGTCCCTTAAGCGATTTAAGTTTTTCAGGGAGATCATACATACCCAGGTGTATTTGTGAGGTCACAGGCCAGCAAAGATGTAACAGAACATGCCATGAACTCCACTCCTTTTGGGTTCACGTAGGCTTTTGGCTCTTTTCTCTATGCCTAGAATCAAAAACTGACAAAATACTTTCACACAAAGTGGGTGCAAATGACCTCATTTTCCAGATTGAGAGATTAAGGCAAAAAGAAGACTTCAATAAATCATCCAAGATACAAAATAAACATATATCAGCACCCAGAATGGAATTCTGGTTCCCTCTGTTCTGCATTTCTCAGGATTTCCTCAGCTGAATACTGAGCCTGATCAAAATTAAACAGGAATTCTTTCCCTTTGTTATCTAAAGCCAATTCCACTGAGAAAAATCTGATTTAGGAGAAAGCCTGTAGAGGTGGATGTTACCTTATGTTCCCAATCTCTTCCCAGATTGGCCTCTGCACTGGGGAGCACACTGTCAGATCACTTAGAGCACAACTGATTTGACTGTGTTCAAAAACATAATTACTATTTATTCTCTAAGGATAATGAGTAATATTTAATTTCTGAACAGCTAACTTTGTCTGTTTCATATTTTTTATTTTTAAAAATTGACCTTTCATCATTTTATATACTTTGGGTAGAAGGTGGTGAATTACTGGTTTGTAGTTCTGTGATTATCATAGCGTATGAAAATAGTACATACCTTGGTTCCCGGTGGAGGTAAAGAGAGAAAGAAATGTGATATAAACCCAAATACCATAGTCTGGAGTCTCAGAACAGGCTTGGTAGAGTCCATGCAGGAAGGATAACTATACTACCAGCCTGGTTGCCTTATGGAAATTCACTTCCTTCTCTGGAAATAGAGCCCCAGCCTCCATGGCCTCTTTGTGTCTCTCTGACATCCTTCTACCTCCTCAGAGAGCTAGGACCAGGGAGTGGTGTGGGATAGGATGGTCTTCCTAGCCTGGCCTCTTGACACCGGAACCTAAGATTTTCTCCTGGATCCTTACCCTTACAAATCAATTGAGAGAGACAGTCCAAGTGTGAAGCAGTCATATGTTCCCCACTGCCCTCTCCCTCAACACAAATAGTCTCTAGGCAAAGGAGCCACTTAGTGAAACTTTATCCTGCTCCAGACTCACATTTTGAATGTGGCCCTGTTCCCGGGCAGCCTGCCAGGCAACACCTTGGTGGTGCCCACACAGCATGCCCTGAGAGTGCCGGTCTGACACAGGCAGAGGCCACTCTAGCTGAGCACTACAGCTGGCCTGCCCCTGGCCCTTCCACCAGCATACCTTCTGCCCAGGGCACCCCAGGTGCAGAGGGAGTATTAGGGCTTGCAGATGTCTGTAGACATCTTCCAGAATGCCTTCCCCCCAAGCCTTCTCTTTTAGCAGCCAGATGACAAGAAAAGGACACTTCCTTGGGTTAAGGGGATTCAGGGGTTAAGCTGGTCTTCTGGCAGGAGTGATCGAAGTATCTGAGCTGTGTGTGCTTTTCCATCTCTTGTGTCCATCTTCAAGATGTTGTAAGCTGAAAAGAGCTGGAATTGCTTGTGTGGGTCAGAAAGCAGCATCCTTACCTGGAAAGTTGAAAAGGAAAGAAGTTCTGATACCAGTGCCTGGGATGTGGCCTCTTGCCCTGTCATCTGTGGTATACATGGAGCGTCCTCACTGGCACCGTGGCCATTCAAGCACTGGTCTCTGGTAGGCAGGCCCACGAGGAGAGATTATGGCATGGTGCCTCTTCCCTTAGTTAGCAGCCGCTTACAACCCACTTCATCACACTGATTCAGGAGCATTTTGGTTTGATGCAATTTGGTTCAATCGTGACAGCATTTTCTGGGAAGGAGAAGGAGTTGTTTTGATCTGATCTATTAATCTGATTGTATTTATAAAAGCACTTGGGCTTGCCTCTTCCTAGGAAACAGTGATTCACAGTTCTGTCAGGCAGAGAGACCAGGCTGGCATTTTGTTGGACTGAACCTAAGCTTCTGCCTGCCTGCAGGCTGTTGTCAGAATATGTCTGAGAGGCACTGTTCCCACCTGGGTCAGCTAGCCCTGTCCCTGGTAGATTCAGGGGAGCAACAAAGGAAAGGAAAACTGTAAAGACTTTGAGACTTACTGCCACGAGAATTCAGAGAATTCTGTGCGGCTTCCTGACTCTTTTGTGTGGACTGTTTGCATGGGGGGCACGGGGGACAGGGCTGCAGGGGGAATAATAAATTCTTTTATTCCTATTTGGAAATCTCTGGGTTTACTATAATGATTTTTAAAAATATGAACAGCAGAGCACTAACACCATTGCAAGGAACCTAGGGTTAAACATCCCTGAGAGGATAGCTGTTAAAATCAATATGCAAATGCAGCTGTATTTAGATAGGTATGGCCCCCTTTGAAGAAAAGCAGATATATGAAAATGGGATTTTAAAAAAACTAGATACATTGGGAGAAATTATTCCCATTACAAAAGGATTATTTGCTTTACCAAAGGATTCACTGCAGGGTTCCTTCTAAATAGCTCCCTTAAGGCATTTAAAACAGGATCTGATTTACGCAGTTTTTCAAGAATGCTT